AAAAAAAGAAAATGAAAATAGATTTGTTCTTAAATGTCAGTTTTTAAATGATTATAGAGTCCTTTTCATAGTGACAGCTGAATAGATATTAGTTGCAAGGTAAATACTGAGTGTGCTATTATGAACCTTCACTACATAAAGGAAATTCTACTTCTTTTTTGGAAATTTTTATTGCACTATAGAAAATTGGAGGAAATACTAATCATTTATTATGCTAAATTATTTAATGTAAGTAATTTGGGTAATGTCAAAACTTGGCTCAAGCATGATTTTTCGGAAGCCTTTCCAGACAAAGTGCACCATAAAATTCACGACACTGTGTCATGAGTGCCCATGTCCTTATCTTTTTGCAACTGTATTCCGAATTCCTTCAGGGCAGTGAACATACTATAGGCATTTTGAAGTACTAGCCAGTAGCAAAGTATGTGTTGCACAGTAGATATCCAGTAATATTGGTAGAATGTATTAAAAAACTAAATTAGATGTGCCTTAATTTTTAATGTCCGTATATATTTTATTTGTAGGTGTATTTCTACATGTTTTGGCAGATACACTTGGCAGTATTGGTGTGATTGTATCCACAATTCTGATAGAGCAGTTTGGATGGTTCATCGCTGACCCCCTCTGTTCTCTGTTTATTGCTATATTAATATCCCTCAGTGTTGTCCCACTGATTAAAGATGCCTGCCAGGTTCTACTCCTGAGATTGCCACCAGAATATGAAAAAGAACTACATACTGCTTTAGAAAAGGTACTGTATGTAATTTCTTTACTACTTGTTTCCTTGAAAATAACATTTTTGAAGTCTTTGCTGGAAATAAGACAACAAAATAAATAATAAAACAAGAAAAGGTCTCAAAAATATATAGTAGCATTTAAAATTTAATAAGTTGACCTAACAAGAAATGTGCAAGATACGAATGAGAAAAATACAACAGTTTTACTTAAAAGACATAAAATAGTGACTGAATAGGTGGAAGGAGATATTTTCTTGGATGAGAAGACTATTATAATGATGTTGATTTTGTTTTATTTAGATTTCAATTTAGTTGCCTTCATTGGATATTTTTGTTTATGGTTTCTGATGTTCCAAAATTATTTGGAACTTACTTGGAGGAGTTAGTGCTTGAGAATAAATAAGAAAACATACATAAACTTACAGAATTAATTAATAGGGATCCTACTTTGCAATTTTAAAGTAACAGAACTAAGTCACAAAACTAACAGTTTGGTCCTTGTACAAGAATAAAGACATAAATCAACTTTTTTAAAAAATAACAGGTTCCCATTCTTGTGACCTGGGATTGTTTCCTGGGCAGCACAAAAAAAAAAAGATAATAATACGTTGTCTGTAAAAGAAGAAATAAAAAATGAAAATAAATGAAGAATTATGGTATTAGTGTAAAAGAAAAAATAAAAAGTAATAGGTTGTCCAGAAACAGACCCGGGAATTTATGGAATTCAGTATATAACAAAGATGGTATTTTAGATCACTGGGGAGAAAATAGTTGACCTAAAGCTTTCAGTTAATTACTTCTCTACTTGGTGGGGGGAAAAAGCTATTATCTCTAGATCATATTGTATAAAATTACATTTCCAGTGGATTAAATATGTAAATGACAAAAATATTATGAAACTACTAAATAGAAAAATATTTTTTGTTTGTTTTTTGAGATGGAGTCTTCCTCTGTTGCCCAGGCTGGAGTGTAGTGGCATGATCCCAGCTTACTGCCACCTCCACCTCCTGGGTTCAAGCAATTCTTCTGCCTCAGCCTCCCAAATTGCTAGGATTATAGGCATACCACACCCAGCTAATTTTTGTATTTTAGTAGAGATGGGGTTTTGCCATGTTGGCCAGGCCGGTCTTGAACTCCTGACCTCAAGCGATCCACCCACCTTGGCCTCCCAAAGTGCTGGGATTACAGGTATGAGATACCACATCTGGCCAGAAAAAATATTTTTTATAATCACAGAGGTAGGGAAAGTCTTTTAATATACGTGAAACCAGAAGCCAAAAAGGGAGGATAAAATTTACAAATTTGATCAGTGCCAGTTGGTGGAAGATTTCACTAACAAATATAAAACACAAAAGGCAGACCAGGAGAAAATATTTGCAGCACATATAAACAGGCAAAGGCTTACTATCCATAATCCTTTAAGTCAAGAAAAAGACAGTCTTAGCCTGGTACGGTGACTCGTGCCTGTAATCCAGCACTTTCAGAGGCTGAGGCGGGCAGATCACTTCAGGCCAGGAGTTCAAGGTCAGCCTGGCCAACATGGTGAAAGCCCATCTCTACTAAAAATACAAAAATTAAGATCAGGTCCAGTGGCTCACACCTGTAATACCAGCACTTTGGGAGGCCAAGGTGGGCGGATCATGAGGTCAGGACATTGAGACCATCCTGGCTAACATGATAAAACCCCATCTCTGCTGAAAAAAACAAAAAACTAGCAAGGTGTGGTGCATGCCTGTAATCCCAGCTACTCAAGAGGCTGAGGCAAGAGAATGGCTTGAACCTAGGAGGCAGAGGTTGCAGTGAGCGAAGACAGTGCCACTGCACTCCAGCATGAGTGACAGAGCAAGTGAGACTCTGTCTCAAAAAACAAAAACAAAAACAAAAATAGCTGGGTGGTGGGGTGGGGTGGCTCTTGCCTGTAATCCGAACACTTTGGGATGCCCAAGCGGGTGTATCACATGAGGTCAGGAGTTTGAGATCAGCCTGGCCAACCCCATCTCTACTAAAAATACAAAAATTAGCCAGGTGTGGTGGCAGCTGCCTGTAATCACAGCTGTATGAAAGACTAAGACAAGAGAATCACTTGAACCCAGGAGGTGGAGGTTGCAGTGATCTGAGATCCCACCATTGCACTCCAGCCTGGACAGCAAGAGTAAAACTCCATCTCAAAAAAAAAAAAAAAAATTAGCTGCATGTAGTAGCGCACATTCATAATCCCAGCTACCTGGGTGGCCGAAGCATGAGAATCGCTTGAACCTTGGAGGCAAAGGTTGCAGTGAGCCAAGATCCCACCACTGTACTCCAGCCTGGGTGACAGAGCAGGACTGTCTCAAAGGAAAAAACCAGACAATCATGTAGAAAATGAAGGTGAGAATATAAACCAGCAATTCCTAGAAATACACAAATATGAAATAGACTGTATCTTTCACCTTGTGGTTTACTATATCATATTGAAGTAATTGCGATCTGCTGATGAAAAGATGTCATCTTGAATATTTAAGCTTATCATCTTAACCTATTGTTTTTATAAATAAAATTAGTAAAGTTCTCTCATCTCATAGTTAGTGAATCATCATGGGTTTTTTTAAAGTTTTTGTTTGTTTTGTTTTGTTTTGTTTTGTTTTTAAATATAGCCGGGCTTTCTCCTTGTTACCCAGGCTGGTCTTGAAATCCTGAGCTCAAGCCGCAGCCTTCCAGAGTGCTGGGATTATGGGCGTGAGCCACCTCGCCTGGCCTAAAGTATTTTTTATTTCAATAATAATATATGTCCAAGGCCGGGCGCGGTGGCTCAAGCCTGTAATCCCAGCACTGTGGGAGGCCGAGGCGGGTGGATCACAAGGTCAAGAGATCGAGACCATCCTGGTCAACATGGTGAAACCTCGTCTCTACTAAAAATACAAAAAAAAAATTAGCTGGGCATGGTGGCGCGTGCCTGTAATCCCAGCTACTCAGGAGGCTGGGGCAGGAGAATTGCCTGAACCCGGGAGGCGGAGGTTGCGGTGAGCCGAGATCGCGCCATTGCACTCCAGCCTGGGTAACAAGAGCGAAACTCCGTCTCAAAAAAAAAAAAAAAAAAAAAAAAAAAAAAAATATATATATATATATATATATATATATATATATATATATGTCCATTGCAGAAAACTTCAAAATATAGAAAAGTGCAAAAAAGAAAAAAAATCACATAATTTTACCACCGGGAAAGAAACACTTTTTGTTTCTTTCCTGTTCTATAAAAAGCCATGGAAGGCCGGGCATGGTGGCTCACGCCTGTAATCCAAGCACTTTGGATGCCAAGGCGGGCGGATCACCTGAGGTTGGGAGTTCAAGACCAGCCTGACCAACATGGTGAAACCCTGTCTTAAAAATAAATATATATTTTTTTTTTCTTAAAAAAAATATATATATTTTTTAAAAAGCCATGTAAAGAAACACTTTTACAAGTTGTTTTTCCATATTAAATTTTTGAAAATAAAAATGGCAAAAAAGCTTCCCTGTAGTGTTTTATAAATTTTCTTGCCACTTAGTAATATCATGTTGATTAAATTCTAATACATTGTTAATGACTGCAGTATTACATTGTATGGGTAGTCAGTAATTTACTTAACCAGTCCTCTGTTGTTGAACATTGAGGATATCTTTTGAATGTGTTATCTCTATATAACAAATAATGTGTATATGAATGTGTCTGTGTAAAGGAAACCTTGTAGTTCATTGTGTCTAGGAAATGTTAGAATAGGCAGAGTTGTGCTGTATCAGTGAAAATAAGGGTACTGCTGTTGATAAGAGCCCATTTGGGGTATAAAGATACCTGTAACACCCATTCGCCTTCCTACTCAGAACTGGCATACTACATCATTCCTAGGTGAGATTTTCCCCCTAACACATCTATAGCCTCGGCCTTAGATCAGAATATTTTAGGCACCTTTACTTTAAGCTAATTTCCCCCCTCCTCTTTCTTCCTGCTTCTGACTTCTCATTATGGCTGGTTTTCTGTTTGTTTGTTTGTTTGTTTGTTTTAATGAGCTTAATAGTGATCCCGGGCCAAGGAAACTGTGTGTTTACTTTCTGTCGGAAAGCATCTCCATTGTGTTGTGTAAAGTAGCCTGTATGACCATTTATATCACCTCTTTTATTTGACAGATACAGAAAATTGAAGGATTAATATCATATCGAGACCCTCATTTTTGGCGTCATTCTGCTAGTATTGTGGCAGGAACAATTCATATACAGGTGACATCTGATGTGCTAGAACAAAGAATAGTGCAACAGGTAATGATCTTTTGTTTTTAAAGTAATTTCAGTTGAGGTAATTCATGCACAAAAATTGTACACATCGGAAGTTATATGGCTCAGTAGTTATTTATTATTCAAAACTATCAGTCTTCCAACTCTTATTTTTGTTTGTTTGTTTGTTTTTGAGACAGATTATCACTCTGTTTCCCAGGCTGGAGTGCAGTGGTGTGATCTTGGCTCACTGTAACCTCTACCTCCCAGGTTCAAGCAGTTCTCCCTGCCTCCCAAGTAGCTGGGATTATAGGCACCTGTCATCACACTGATGTTTTTTTGTTTGTTTGTTTGTTTTTAGTATAGACAGGGTTTCACCATGTTGACCAGGCTAGTCTCAAACTCCTGACCTCAGGTGATCCCCCTGCCTCAGCCTCCCAAAGTGCTGGGTTTACAGGTGAGCCACCATGCCTGGCCTAATCTTCCAACTCTCTAAGGGTAATATAACTTAACTTTTTATATCTAGATTTGTTTTATATCTAAACATTGCTAAAATAAATGAAGTTTTGTGTTTAGAGGATAAGCTTAAGTTAATGTAAAAAAAATTCATTTATGAATTTGGTTCATCTTGGTTCACAGTAGATTATCAAAAAATAAGTTTTTATTTATATATTCCTAAATTAGTAATAATCAGTTTGGCAGGGTATATGCTATGTTTGGAGATAGATAGCAGAACAGTTACTAAAGCCCTATTCTGGATGTGCCAAATTGGAAACAATGGCTGTGAATGTCACATTTCTACTGTGAATGTCAAATCAGTAATTTACTGACCTAAAAGAGTCTAACATTTGCCAGGCACTGTGGTTCACGCCTGTAATCCCAACACTTTGGGAGGCCAGGGCAGGCAGATCACCTGAAGTCGGGAGCTTGAGACCAGCCTGACCAACGTGGTGAAACTCTGTCTCTACTAAAAATACAAAATTAGCTGGGTGTGGTGGCACACACAGGCAGGAGAATCGCTTGAACCCGGGAAGCGGAGGTTGCAGTGAGCCGAGATCGCACCACTGCACTCCAGCCTGGGTGACAGAGCAAGACTCTGTCTCAAAAACAAAAAAAGAGTCTGACATTTTAACTAACTAAATGATAAACATTACTTTGAAGATTTATCTTGGACTACTATAACTGTTTGATCGTTTGTTTGTTTACTCATTCATTATAGAGACAGGGTCTCACTATATTGCCCAGGCTGGTCTCAAACTCGTGGGCTCAAGCGATCCTCCTACCTTAGCCTCCTTGGGCCACTTCACCTGGCCTGCAACTATTTTTAAAATGTGATGCAGGCCAGGCACAGTGGCTCACGCCTGTAATCCCAGCACTTTGGGAGGCCGAGGTGGGCAGATCACGACCTCAAGAGATCTAGTCCATCCTGGCCAACACGGTGAAACCCCGTCTCTACTAAAAATACAAAAAAAATTAGCCGAGCGTAGTGGCACGCACCTGTCGTCCCAGCTACTCAGGAGGCTGAGGCGGAAGAATAGCTTGAACCCAGGAGGCGGAGGTTGCAGTGAGCCAGGATTGTGCCACTGCACTCCAGCCTGGTGA